GGGGCAGACCGTCCGTAGTTGTCAGTTAGAGATGCAGAGGCAGTGGGTCCACGATCCCGAAAGGGTTAAGAGTACGGGCCTCAGGAAAAAAAGACGAAGGCTAACGATCTTACTGAACAGGGAAATCTAATAGTTTCTATCTACATATTTAGCTCTCTTAAAAATTTTAATTCTGATGGTTATCAAGAACGCATCTAGGGCAGTGCTTAGAGGTGCTCTGCATCGTACACGTAGTCGCTGGTTCGACACAGTGGTCAAGGCTCACCAAGCCATTCATCCCTCGGGGGTTGGTAAATTAGTGCCAGATTCGTTGAGAGGATAAGCAGCACAGACTCGACAAAGCAGTAAGCCGCTGTGAGTGATTGCAAAGACCAGATACGCACTCAATCACCTCAAACGAAGCTAAAAATTGGAGGCGAATGAATGGCGTATCCTCTAGGGATTGATCACCACTGTGAGCTTTATCCTTTCATTCTCTAATGGTTACTATCGACTTAGGTAGGCAATGGAACAAACTACCTTTCTTAACACTTCTGAATTTACTAATTTCTCTTGAGTCAGACAAAAACTGACACACAGTATTTCCCTACTACTTCTAAATCTAATTATTTCTATCGAGCTAGGTAAGAAATGTGACTTGAGATGCTAGTTTCAAACAAATTTTCCTAAAGAAACCTGCCTTAAGATGAATTTCTACGATTCCGAATATTTATATAAATACTTGTATTCCCCTTCGGAAATTTAGAAGCTCTATAACGAAAGGTTCATGGTACTTTATTAGACCCGAACGAAAACGGTTTTCTGAGCTAGTACTCCCGTAGACAATCCTCCCCTCTCCCTTTTGAGAGTAAAGGCGCCAATTCTCAATACATGCTACCTTCGCTTTCAAAGCCCTGAAAATACGAAAAAACTGCCGAAAAATAAAAGAAAATCACGTACATCAATTGTGATATTCATGCCTAGAAGTGCCGCATTAGTGATCGTTTCCTTCTCCGCCATAGCGATATTGGCATGTTGAAGCAATTTATTCAGGTTTTCGTCAGTGATACCTACAAATATCCAATAACATTGGCTACGTGTTGATATTTAGTTATCCAATCTTCCTATACTCACCATTCTTACTGAGGATATAGAGAAGAATGAGCCGTAATCTGTCCTCCGTTTTTACAACAGGATCAATCAATAACGGTACCATCAACTTCATCGGATCACGTACGCGTTCACCGTCAGCATCCACTTGAGTGGCCAAATCCTGAAAATTTGTCCCTTCTTACGGATATTTCAAATCTTGTTTCGACAGCTGCCTAAAGACTCCGTCTTCTTCATGACTGACACTGGATGCTGGTTGCCCTTGCAGTATTAGAAAAACCCGTGCTAAGGTAAGCCTTCGCTGATTGACTATGAGGAGTGTTGGGTTGGAGGAATCAAACTAGACCCTTTCCTCTTGAGAGGTTGCATCCCTAACAACTCGGACCGATTAAGATCGACCAATTAAACACCATTAGTGGGTAGAACCTATAAAGTCGACAAAAAACGAAATAACCTGTTCAACTTTGCAGAGTTTGTCAATTCCACTTTGATATTGGCGCATACATTCCTCGGCCAAATGGAAATGAGTGCTGAAAATATCGCGAATAAATTGTCTAATGTGTTGAACATACAGCCATTTTTAACAAATAAGGCAGGTTACCTGAACTTATTCAGCTCTTTCTGGTGCTGTGGCATCTTCTTAATCATCATCGACAAATCTTTTATGGATTTCGCATCGGCCTTGAAGCCCGCCTTCGTATCACTGAACTTCTTTAAGCCTTTAGTAACCTATAACATACATTAAAAAGGCAAAAAGTTCAAAAAGCAACGCCTTAGATGAAGCCGACCTCTTGTGAAACAATGGCGATGTGTTTGTGACGAGTATCGACCCACAGATCGTCGTTTTCGTCCAAAAGCACCTGAAAATTGGGTAGCCTAGAAAGAGAACTTGGGTACTACGACATTAGAATAAAAAACAAGATAGACGAACCTCCTTCTCGACGCTATCATTTCCGCCAGTTTCATAGCGATACACATCGTTTTCAATACCAAGCAAATCGTAGCACATCGCCTGTAGGGTCAATTCGTGAAGAAGTGGAGTTACACCGTCAAAACCTCGATCTTTAACATGAAATAGTTAGAGAAAGCCGCGAAGAAAAGACAGGGTTACGATCCGACATACCAATAATCAGAAGCTGACTACGAGCTTTATCAGCTCCTTCGCCCATTGTAGGGTCGTCAGCTTTGTAAGCATCGAGCTTCTGTTCGACCAGATGACCGAGCTCGACATTTCGTTCAAAATCAGCTCGATAGCTGAAACTCTAAGCTGCTCATCACTTGAGTCGCTAGAAACTAATGGAATACGTTGATAGAGAAACTGACCGTAGAGATGGGTACTCGCCGAGGGTAGCGCATACCGTTGCCAATTGTTCAGCTATACGTTCGAGACTATACGTTAATCCACCTTGCTTTTGTGCAATGTAGTAAAGAAAATATGTATCGGGTGAATCCAAGGTGTAAACCTGAAAACATGACGAGTAATACAGTCGTTAGGTACGGGAGTAGTGCAGTGGCTGATGATATAGTACGTATCAAAAGCAATGCGATAAGCAGTGTGCTCGTTCGATCCTTGCCCCAACATTCTCTTGCAATCGATCAGCTGAACGCTTAGGGAACGCCTCCTAGCTCGGCTACTTCCAGGATTGTAAAGAGAATGGCCTTGACCACTACATTACGATTTTCATGAAGATCGCAGACCTTTAAAGAGAAGGAATGCGAGAAAGTAATCGAATGCAAAAACAGCTGGGATCCCCGAAGCAACTCTTCTTGACAGATCGCGTAAAACAGAGAATGGAACATAGTCTCAAGCAAAGCCAAACGAAGGATAAATATCGCAGCGTTGATCGCTAACGAATGCGAAATGCACTCGGCTTCATCAAGCATCGTTTAGAATGATTTCAATGTGCATCTGGCGATTACAGTGACCCTCTGTGGCTTAGCGATATATCAAGTCAGTGCTACTAGCATCTCAGACAAGTCTGCTTTCAGTCCACCGACTGCCAAGAGATGGAACGCTCAGTGAACGCTGAACACGGAACCGAACCATCGAGTACCTGCTGATCGACCACATGTGCGTCGCAGAGCACTCCTAACTGTTGCGGTACACGCGTTTTTAATCTTTGATAGCGTTCTAACCTATTGGTTGGATTGTTAATGGTTGGCTTTTTCTCGAACCGACCTGACTTTCATATGGAGTAAAGGCGATGTTGATCTCCTTCAATGTCTTAATATGTCGAGCAGCGGCACTACGAGACAATTCGGAGAATAACGTGTCAGCACAGGCCTCCGTGAAGAAGACGTGAGCACATTTGTACTGATTACGTACTGTATAATCGGCAATCAAACGATCTATCTGAAATCTAGCAATGGAATTAAGGGAATGTAAAAGAGCTGAGATCATATCTTGTGAGAAACTCCAAAACTCACCGACTCTTTCGTCGGAGCGATAAGATAGATCGCCTCCAGACTAGGAAGCGGCTCTCTACGTTTGCCCAGATCTTCGACGATAGTTATGCCATCTGAAAAAAAAATTGGTACAAAAAGGAAATATCTGCGACTAAACCCAACTTGAGGCTGTCTTCTATCACTCAAGGTATCAAATGATCACTAAAAGCTTGCGGAAAAAACGAAAAAGATCTTGTTTTCAAAGTTCTAAAAAGTATATTGCGTAAAGTGAATTGTACATAGATTTGTTGTCCCTTAGCCCTTTCAAGACCATGGACCCAATCCTCTGTGTCTCTGACTCCCAGCGTGTTACGTCTAACAATGGCGTCTATCAATGGAGCGTGTTACGTTTAAAAATGGCGCCTAAGCCCGGAGTGCCCATCATTAAACGCAACACGCTCCATTGCCAGTCACCACTGTTGAATTAAGGACGCAGAGGGTTGCGTCCACGGTCTAGAAAGGATTAAGAGATGAGAAAACAAGGTACAACTCGCTTATCGTAATCTGTTTTCCAACACTATGGAGACAAGGCCTTTCCGGTTATTTCCTCATACTTTTAGTAATCATTCGACAGCTTGAGTCTCGGTGATTTCAATGCTGTGATTGTTTCCTAAAAAGGCTTTTTTAATCCGCTGTAGCAGCAAAAATAAAGTTGATTTGCACTTTGTTTTCGCCACTACAACGGACTAAGAGGGCCCTTTCAGGAGGCAAGCATAGTATCAGAATTACCGACAATCAAGCTATAGAATGGTTACTAAAAGTCTGAACAAGTCGGAAAAGACCTCGGACTCAAGGTGTTGAAAAATGACTGAAGATAGCGGGAAAAGCATCCGAAAACGACCGACCTTCCATGATGTTGTGCATCTTACAGCAAGCCGAAAGCATTCGCATAGATAATCGATCAACCACCAAAGCATTCCATCCTTTTCCTTCCGGTTTCTTCAACGGACGTATCACCTCGTTCAGAAGCTCTGAAATGACTGGAATCAGTCACGAAAAGTCTTCAGAACATCGTCGGGCAGCAAACTGCTTTGGACAAAAAGAAAATACTTGAAGGGAAGATGGAGTATAGGAGAACAAAAAGGAAGAGAAATGGGAGGTGCGGGGGGAGAGCGAGGAAGAGATTGATCACTCTGGAATTGTTATGACCGGCGATACACCGACTACCCCATAAACAACTCATCGTAAAAAGTATCCTGATCATAAAATCGATAATCCATTCGTTCAACAAGGCGCTAGAAACCTGGAGCTATACAAGGAATATCGATATAGATTTTAAAAAACCCTTGCTGCTCTTCGCCTTAATGGCTTACGACCGTAAGTTCTGCTCATGTTTTCTCACGATGCCGCTCTTTCAATAACAAAGTAAGAACACAAGACACTTCTTATTTATGTTTTTACTGCTTTTTCTCAGTAATATGCAATTTTGAAGATTCCTAAGAGATCTGAGTGGCTAGCAAAAACTCGACCTCAGGCGGGAGTTGAACTCTCGTTTCATCCATACCGGGGACGCGTTCTACCACTACACCACAGAGGCCACCGCTTAATCACCAATCACTTATTCTTCAATACATATCTATCACAACTATCAGCCACCAATCATTAACAAGTCTGAATGGAAGGTGAACACTGAAAAAGTAAGGAACAAACTGAAACTTAAATTAACAAAGCAAAGTAAACACTTGGAAAGTAAGTAATTAAAGCAGTAAGAAGTAATAACAAAGTAAAACGGAAGAGTAAATCAAAGTCCACTAGTAATCTAGCAGTAATCCTCGAAGTAAACTCACTGTTTCCAACGATTTCCTTCAGTGACATGGTGGGTGACGAACGCGTACACCAGCTGTTGTTGTTGTTGTTGTTGTTGTTCCTTGTCCCAAACGAAGTAAAATGACGTCACCTGTAATCACACCATCTAAGCCATCTGGGGGAGTGACGATCAATAAATCAATAACCCGATCAATAAGTGAGCGACCGACCGACTGAACGTGAAGGCGACGGGGAAGGGGATCGCTTCGAAAACAAAGGCTATCTCTTATTTTCCGCATTTATTTTACTTGTACCATATGCACATTTTATTGTGGTGATTTTGACATTGAATAGGAACACCAGTTATAAACCCTCCACTTATTTCTTTCTAATTGAATGCCTTCAATACAAACCTTGTACCCCAACCAATTGCCATCTCCCAAGTAACTTCAGTGTGACCATGCATAAGTGACTGTGGCCTCCCATCAGAAAACTAGAGATCTCTTGATCCACACAACTGCTTCCGACGTATATCTCCGTTCATTTACACCAAGAAATTCTACGCAAGAAAGGCCAATTCTTTGGAAAATACTGTACACTTGCTGATAGCAGAAATCCTAACAAAGGTTAAGTCTAAACAAATATTATGAGTACAAAATTTTGTTGTGTCTACATATAAAGACCTGGAAAGCTCGTTTAATTGCCTTCTGGGAAACAATGGGAACGAGGAAGTCACTAACAAAGCCGACAGCAATATGGTGAACAATGAACTCAATACGGTATTTGCACCGAGAATAGTAACTCGCGAAATCAAAAACACTGTACTCCGTAAGATCGGAAATAGTCGGCAAGTACTCTCGCACCTGTTGTTTGTTAACTATTGTAAAGCTACTAGTCGCCAAAATCTGATGCATAGTATGCTCAGTTATACATCTAGAATCCACTACCCTATTTTTTAATGACGATGTCATCAAGACGACATATTGATCAAGTGCAAGTCATCCGATTTCTACTAACTGCACATCCCCAGTGTTAAAAGTTTATTGTAAAATAGGCAACTATTTACAAGGAGAAGAAGCTCTCAACCCTATATGATACGGTGTTGTGATGAGGGTTCAAGCCGATCGGCCGATACACCAGGACTGTTGCGATCGTTCAGTATATTGCTAGTGCTGTTGCTGCCGAAAACGTGTTTGACACCACGCATTTGAGTGTTACTTGTGTAATCAGACCTCTGTGTACATCAGCATCATCGAAACAGCAACAAACACCAACAACAATGAAAAATAGGACCAGCAAGTAGTGGGTACGTGACACAATGAGTAATTGACTTATAAAGACGGTAATGACAGCTGTTGAAGGGAGTGAGCTATGCTAGAGAGTGGGTTACCACACAGGGAATGAGTTACGATAGAGATTGGCTATATATTGCGATGTGCGAGATGACAAACCGAGGGCTTTGTGATACCCAGGATGTCGTCCCGGAACATTTGGCGTTTGACGTAGCACTGTTGACGGTGGCAGCCGCATCCCAGACGAGCGCAAGTTTCCGAATGATGCGGAAGTAAATATCACGCTGTATACTGTGGAAGAGAAGTCGTATGCCACCTGTGGGCGAGCTCGCTGGGTTATTGCTGAGACGTCGCCTTGCGTTCGCCACTGGCAGTGACTCGGTAATGAGACGATCGCAGGTCGATAAACAAGTCTAGGACATCGCTATACGTTCGCTCTTAACGATATCCTTAGAGTATAACGATTCGTGCTAGTTATTTAGAAATTATTCAGAATATGTAGATCAAATACTTAGATACTTAGATGGTCCGTCATCACTAGTTGTGCGGGCCCAAGCACATATTCCAAATGGTATGCAGATGGTCGTGCTTGCGATAATCCTTGGTTTCCTGATGTAAACTTGCAAGGGCTTCTTCAGGTTTTCATGATATCTTTTCAAAGAATGAGTTTGGGCGACAGATCCTCTGCCGAGCTTCCTACTAGTTGATTCGTAGATGGTGATAGACCGAAATCAAAAGCAGAGGTAGGAAAGAAAATAAACTGACCGCTCACGGACGATGTAGAAGCCGAAATATGTATAAATATAGAATATAGAGATAGAATAAAAGAAACATGAAAATGTAAATTACTGTGTTTTGTTAGATAATTATATAAGTTCTGGCAATAGATGCACAACAACAGTAAGCAGCATATTTGCTGAGCAGAAGTTATTGAAACTGCATGGTTTTGATATTGTTCAGTCGACCACTTTCTTGTGAACATTCTGGTGTACAACTTGCCTATACTTGCTCTAAAATAAATAAATAAAATAATATAAAATAAAATAAAATGAATAAACATTGAAACGTACTTTGCCCAATCTGCACTATGCAATACTTTCGGAATGTGATGCACTATGCAGAAGCTGGCCAGTGGTCCATAAAGATATGCACCGTCATGGATGCTTTTCCTTATGTGGTTCAGATGTACTTGGACACCGTCACCGAAGTTTAGAACATCGGATTCATCCTTAAGAATGTTTCGTGATTATGAAGACAATGTGCTTATCAAAATTCCTTCAACAGTAGAGCATAACATTCTCGATACCACATGCCCCCTATATCTGACTGCCAGTCTGCGCCTGTGCTTACTGGAACTACTGTGGTGGCTGTGCGCCCTGATACAGATCTGCCAGTTATCAGACACGCTTAGTCGATATTATTGTCACTTGTAACTATTTATTTGACTAATCTCACGACACATACAATTAGATCTTTACGGCAGTCGACGAAGAATTACTATTTAATATTAATTTTGACAACTTTCCACATTTGTAAAAATACTTCTAAAATGTATTATAATCTGAAGTGCATAGTAGAACATAATTTTATTGCCCTTTAATCGGCTGATTTTCAAAAATAATCCATTCAGGCAATGCCTATTTGCTTGGTGATAGCCGTAATCCATCGACCGATAGAATGGTGCACATCATGATCTCAAGTGGTTTCGACTGGACGTGTTCCCCGTCCTTACTATCACTATGGATGACCATGGGGCCTGTGGCTCAGATAAAGTGGGTTAGACTGCCGAAACATACGTAAGCCCCTAACATACAAACCTTGAATGTGTTTTGAACAATGTATTGAACAGATTTGATTTTTCGATGAACAACTGCTTACTTCTCTGTGCAATAGGTGTACCGGCGTTATTTTAGAGATCAATGGTTTTACTGTGGTCTTTTCAATAATTCTTTATCTACCACTGAGCACAAAACCCCTTTAATACGGCACGAGGGTGAATCTTACTAGAAAACTACAAAATTGTCACTGAAGCGTGCCTTGCCTGGAAACTGTTTGACCGCAGCTCTTGAAAGGAGGAAGATCAACGCGGTACCGAAAGTGTTAAAAATGAATTCACAAATTTGTGTTCCGATAAAAAAGCAACATCTAATGCTGTAAAGTACTAGAAGTGCACTATGGAACGCTACGAAACATCGTGATAGACCATTATGAATTAGCAAATGAAATAATTGCTATCCAACCGTTGATTCGTGACCTCTGAAAAACGTAATCAGGCCATCCTCATACTGGAAAAAAAGTAAAAATTTACCTTGCGTTTGCAAGAGTTGCCATTATCGAAGAGAGTACCGCCACTTTCATGATGAACCGTGGAATTATTTCCGTCTTCTGGTATGAAATAGAGTTGAATATCTGTGATGCTCACTATTTAGGTGAAATAAACGCAATTTAGGATTAATTCTAGGTTTTCAGTACAGTCATATCCATACACACCAGCATGCTGTCCACCTTCACAGTTCCATTACACCACGGCACTTAATACATAAAAGTAATTTCAGTCCATTACTCTTTTCCACTACAAACATATTTCTGGCACAGTTCCCCTAGCGAGCGGAATCGCTTCCTTGGAAAACTATTTTGAGAGCTCTCTGCAAAAGGAGCTTCTTTGAAATTTTCTTTACTCTTCGACGTCGGAATAATTTGTGAAATAATTTTCATAGCCTGTGAGATTAGCAACACATATGCTTCGAACACTGTAATTTTGCACTATTTTGTTACCAAAAAAGGTTTTCCAAGGAGCCTATTTTGCTGGGTTAAGACTTATTATTAAACCGTGAAGAATTAGTCGAAGGTTTAAATCTTTGTGGATCTCAAAATATGTTTCCCTTTTCACGAAAGGCCTTAGTACATCACTATAGCTTCATGAATCATATTGCATTTCATGCGCGACACGCATTATCGTATGTATTTTTCGCTTAACAGAGCTCTTTCCCTAGACCACTAGTTACTACTCAATAGCGTAAATCTCGGCGACTTCGACAATGCACTCGTTTTTAAAAAAAAGCTCTTAATGCGTTGTAGCAGAATAAGTGGAATCAAGTTGTACACATGCATAATTTTCGCAGGATAGCGCTCTTCTTTAGACTATTATGAGTCATTAGAAAGCATAAGTTTTGACTATTCCAAACTATGCTCATTCTATAGAGAGACTATCGCACTCCAGTGTAGAAGGGAAATAAAACTGAACTTCAAACAGGCCGCGCGTACTCTGTCGACTAGGATGCACGAGTGGCCGTAAATCAATGCGCGATCAAACAGTCGCGGAGCGCGATAAACATATGGCGGGAGATTTTTGCTAATTAATTCAGGTATCTTTCTGCCTTGAAAGGAAAACTCTAGATAAGACATATTATAACCATACTCCAAGATTTTTTCTACACGTTTATATGCTTTTGTGGATATGCTAATGTTGCTTAAATTTATAGCATGCTGTTAAGTCAGT